TTTTGGCGAGTCTTTGGCAAAATTTGATGCACACGCCATTCCGAAATCGCAGGAGGGTCGGTGTAATGCACTACCAAAACGCCCGTAACTAAGAAACAAATGCTACTTCGATGATGCCGGCTGGCACACTGATTCACTATGAATGTAGGCCGCACTCCCTAGCGGCAGAAGCTCGTACTACATCCGGTTCGCCCTCTCGTATTGACACAGTCTTGAAACTTTCCGATCGCATCTCGTATGAGCGTAAGAATTGAATTCTTCTGGTACAGGAGACGGACAAGAGACAAACTACTGTCAACAAGGGTTGCATAAAAGTCAGGGAATTTCGTCATCAGCGAATATCAGCTTCCAACTCCTTCGAGTTAATTAATGGCTTTCTGTGGTTACGATACTCTGACACTCTATCTCTGTGGAAATGGCCAGTGACGGGTCCACTGTCCATCCCCCGTCGATATATTAATGAATGAATATTAAGCAACGATTAAAAACACGGGAGTGCCGAAGGACTCGGAGAAAAACCTACAATAGTGTTATTTCGTCTACCACAAATCTCATGGAAGCTTGGTCTTCCGCGGTGACAAACGGCCTCACGACGCAGTTGTAGTTATTTACAGAAAAGCGTAACCACTCCTGCAGTGTTATTATCCTTACGTCAGCAGATGTTTGTTAATAGTGATCTAAGGACTTTCGAAATAACCTTAACAATTAAATCTGGTTTATAAATATTTCACCTTGCTTCAGACTGCTTTAATGAACTTAATTTTTATCCTGCGTTTTGATCTAATTATCTTGATTGTGTTTTTTGCAGGAAATGCTTGGAAATGACGGAGTATTTCTGTACCCTACATTTATCGACTGCGCTAACTTCCACCTAGAGTCTTACTATAAGATATTCAACATATCATACACGATGATAATGAACGCATTAGAAGTGCCAGTTACAAATTGCCCCATGGGCATGAATGAACGAGGTCTGCCGATTGGAATTCAGGTAAATGACTTTAAAATCCCTTTTCTATTACCTCGCTTCATTTTCGGAAGTAAACGGCCCCAGAATATTTGCAAAATGTTAAATTCGAGGTTCTCAGACGGTGAAGATGTCTCTGATGGTCCCCTGAAGCATTTAAGACTGACGGACTATTTTCCTCGGAAATCTACATATCCACACGGAACTACAACCCAGAAGACCAATATTGATAACTGACAAATGTTCTGCATATCTTTTTTGCTTATTTGTAATAAATCAATTCGTAATATGGGTTAAGATTAATAAAAAGATACAAAGAAATTAAATATTTCGATGTGTGATGTTTACACTTAAAATTATTCATTGCCAGGACTTTTTCCATCGTCTGTTCTTTAAAACCCACGACGTTTCGGAGGTTGGTTCTGTCTTCGACTTCGGGTGAGAGGTACCTACTCTGTTGGGTACCTTAGATACAGCTAGTCTCTGTCACTGAACGTCGTGGGTTTTAAAGAACAGACGATGGAAAAAGTCCTGACAATTTTAAGTGTAAATTACCGTCGTCAAAACCCTTTAGAATTGAGTGTGATGTTTGTTTTTTATACAACATTAAAATATATTGGAATATGATATATATATAATATTTGCAGAGACATACGACGTTCTCGGAAGATAACCCTACCTCAGTACCATTTTGCCAATCACACAAATAATTTATTTATTTAGTGTTCTGTCTGACGACAGGTCCATATGAACAGGATCCTTCCATCCTTTTCTCGGACTGGGACCTGTTCATATACGTTCTTGGCAGATGATCCAGAAGTGGTTTGCCATTGCCTTCTTCTGTGTGTGAATGGAGTAATTGTTGGGATGCCACGGAGGAAAACTCCGTGTTGAATAGACCACGGCCTTGCCCAACACAAGTTATAAATTTGGGCACCGCCGGGAATCGAACCCGAGACCCCAGGATTACAAGGCCAGCGTTCTAACCGCTAGACCACCGTGGCCTTCAAACACAAATAATACCAACTAATACTGAAAAATTGTTGCGGAGAGATACCAAAGCAAGGCTGTGGATCGGTTAAAATTTATCACTAAATGATTTCTTTACATCTTCATCCACTTTTCTCTTCCTCGCTGCCCTTTATCCCTTTCGAACCTTTGTGTTCTTCCATCTTTCTTCCTTACTATTTTCCCATCCATTTCCGCGTCGTACGACAAACAAAATATCAGCAGTGGTCTAACGTTATTTCAACGCTTCCCTCGTCCATAGCAAAAGGACTTACCTAATAATAGCAGTACTCTACTTTTAAAACAGAACATTCTGCCCATAAAAGGCGGGAGTTTCTTAACTACGTCAGCGTAATATTAAATTCTCAAAGACTCCGCTCCATGGCGTTAGTAGGGTGATTAATTGCATTCATCGCTGAAGGAATAAAGACTCGAGAATGCTGTAAACAGGATTTTGATGTTAGTCACAGGGTAGATTTAAATGATAACAGAATAATCTAAAGCAGTGGTATTCAACCTGGGGTACGCGAAGACATCTTAGAGGGTACGTGAAATTTAAAATATATATATATATTATTTTATGATAAACACTGAATAATCGGTAATGTAATTTATTTAATTTATTTTAGATGTAGATTATATACTATGTATAACTTGAATTATACACCAACAACTTTAGGGGTACAAAGTTGAAGAGAAATTATATCTGGGGGTACGCGAACAAAAAAGGTTGAATACCACTGATCTAAAGTATGCTTTGGAAGCCGCTTGCTACAATAACAAGTCTATATTCTTAGATGTCGTGACATTGGTCTCTTCCCTTCGGGTTTTCCAACACCTTATACATATTTCACATCCGTCATATGCGCGCAAAAGCTTGGCCGATCTCATCCTCCTTAATTTGATATTTAGAGAACAGTACAAATTATGAATTCCGTCGTGCAGAATTCACCAGTCTCCTGTCACTTCCTCCCATTAGATGGTCCAAATATTTCTCTCAATACTTTGTTCACAAACATCCTCAGTCTATGTCCTTTCGTTTGTGTTAAAGACCTTGTTTTTCACCCATATCAAATATCAGACAAATTATAGTTTTGTACTGACTCATCTCGTTATCCTGTTTTATCTTGTGCAGATTGTGGCTGCACCATTCGAGGATCGGCTGTCAATTGCAGTAGCAAACGAATTACAAGCCGCATTTGGAGGGTGGACAGAACCCCCTGCTTCAGAACGAGCAGCATAACATATCTTATACTCAGCCCAGAGACTCGTCACTTACAATAAGAGACAAAATCTGCATCTAAAAATAAATAAATATTAACATTGGCAAAATCCTCTTGGGCGAATTCGGGGCGAAATGATGCTGCTGATCGCCCAAGAGAATTAAATCGTCCTTAGTAGCCTATAATGCTTCAAAGCATCAAATACTAATATTAATAATAATAATCCCAATATATTTAAAATTTCAAACAATAAAAGAATTCCGACTGAACCAGGATTCGATCACATGACACAAGGCCACCCCACTAACCCATGAGCTAAATTGCAATTCGTAATTCTCATTATCGAAATATGGTATTAACAACACAAGTTTTATAAAGTTTCAGTTTGAAGTCGATTGCCTGATTAAGATAATATACGTTTTGTTCCATGAATGATTTACTTCAAAATTAATAAGTTATGAAAAATGGCGACATGCTTTGTAACCATTGCATGTGTTAAATATTTCGTAAAATATAAACATAATGAAGTCCCTCAGTTTTAAACTGTGCTCATACACATTCTAATTAACGAATGAAATAACAGAGCATAAAGAGAAACAATGATGTTAAGAACTAAGGTCCTTGTTTCTTTAAACACAGAAGATATTCCGAACAGCTGAGAGCATTTTAAATAAAAAGAAACAAACAAACACGTTTACTCCTAGGCGGACGGCAACTTTCATTTCTTCTTATTGCCAACGAAGTGTAAAAAAAATGTAAATATTTAATGATGTCATATTTCATATTGGTGTGTGTACAAGAACAAGTTTTTATCCAAATATTTAAAATTATGTTTATATTCTGGACTTGGTATCTATCGGTTAATAAAGTTGAAGATGTCCTTGGCACGGGGAAGTTTCCATACCGTCATTGTTTACCATACACAAACATTTCAGTTACAGTTTAAAATCACATAAAAGTTAAATGTTAAAGATTCTTAACAACAAATTAATATTCCACAAAGTATATTTTAAAACTATTCAATTAACGTAAGTTAAAACTCTGTAGTATTTAACATGGGCATTAATATTAAGAAACACTGGTCGTTCAGTACAAGTAATATATCGTTGAGAGCTCCGTGTATGATTACTGAATCATTAATCATCATCATCATCAACACCAGCCTTCAACGTCTTAGGCCGTTACTTGTAGGGTCTCCTTGACAGATATGCATCCATTTTGTTGGTAACAGAAAATATGGAATCGCCTTAAATGTTTACGAATTCCATGACAGTTTGCATATTTAATTCCATATTTCCATAATTCCATAATTATGCCTTATATTTATTTTATATTGTAGGCTAACCTTTGTCTTCATTGTATTCACATCATGACATGAGCATATTATATAAATAAAAACATTAAAATCCAACCTTAAATTTTCACGAACTCTCTCTCTCTCTCTATTTTTTTATTTTTTTGGAACTAAATTTTCTAAACTGAATATGGTAACTTTATAGGCGTACAGACATTTTTCAAAGAACTCTTTTACAAATGGTGAGTCTGTGGACATATTTTTGTATGATTCTCAATGCCACAGTCATAAACACTGCAACGTAACAATAGTCCTCCAAATGCGTCTATTTCTTGTTGGTGTTTATATAAGTTGAAAAGAACTTGAGGGGAGAATTTCCCTCAGAGAAATAAGACTTTACCGTGAGCAATAGACATCTGTAACTTTAAAATATATTCATATTAAATGTATCCTATAATCTGGTGGAATTTTACCGACGATTCAGAGGTGTTTGCTGCCTCCATCATCAGTGTGATCGCTGGCGCAAGAACCCAGTCATCTTCATAAAACATCAAATCTCACAAATCAAACATTACCTGCATTAACTATGTCTGTGCGGCCACCACTTTAGTTAGGCCTTTGTATAAGATTCATAGTATTCCTCGACATCTTCAAAATTTGTGTTCGCACAAATTGAGAAAACACATACGTACCAAAAACCTATAGAATTTATTGTATAAATTTCAATAATTTTTAATATCATAATCAATCAATCATAATCAATGTCATAAAAACTAAAAATACTACAGATTGCTTAGTATTTCAATGGCATTCGTAGCCGCCACTAAATTTCGTGTTTCAAGGTCACAATAACAATAGATTTAACAAGAGCAGTGGAACCCAGGCGAATGACGACAGCTCAGAACTCGCGCCGTGGCAAAGCTGGCTTAGGTTCACCCGTACGGAAAGTGGGGACGAAGTCCTTCGATGGCCTTGAAGCAAGCGAATTCGTGACGGCTACCGTCGTTTATGTAACGATATTAAACAAGAGAAGGAACACGTAACGAGGCTAGTATCTCTCCCACCCATGCTGATTTGCAACGCCGGCCTCTCCTGCTGCCATATCAGGTATAAATTGGCATAGGACCAGTCGATATTCAGTCGCTAGACAGCGTGACGGTGCTTAGACGTGTGAAGTTTTTTTCGTGATTGTCGGTAGACTCGATTTATAAACTGGAATCCTGTTCATTGAGAAGAACGCACGTAAGCAAACTTTTAACATACGCTGTAATTAGCTTTATTACAATTTGTAGAATACGCCTATAACCTCAGCACATTTTTATTTATTTTTCATTATTAACTGATGATTGAAATTCACGTCAGTGTTTACGAGAGAAATTACATCACTCATTATTGTATGTATTTTATAGACGAAGCGGCCTTACGTTGTGAAACGTTCATTGTGCCTTTTATACGGCTAAAGACATTTGTCTTAAAGAAATGTGGGACATTCTTGAATTTTGTTATTTGAAGATAAAATAAATCTTCCATGACTCATCCAGTGTTCTCTCTCTGCGATAATCTATTTCATCCAGTCCTTTAAACAAAACGAGCAGTGCACAGAACTTAACCGAATCAAAAAGAAGATAAAACTTTAGAGGATTAAAATTATCTGTCTACTCTCTGCAACACTAACACTTACAGTGTTGTTTATATAACATATCTTATAAGATATTGTAGGTGCGTCATATTGTGATTTTATTTAAAAATAGTATTAAAATATATTAAAATTGTCCGTCAATCACAATAAAGTAATATAAGATAATTAAATGGTTAAAATATTATCCTTTGTTCCGTATCGAGTACTCGATTTACATATGGAACATTCCATATGTAAATCGAGTACTTTATTGTGATTGACGGACAATTTTAATATATTTTAATATTATTTTTAAATAACATATCTTATTCGTAACACGTATAGATGAAACATGTGAAGTACGAACAGTTGAAATTTATTAACGATAGATGGTTTATCTACCTACGAGTCGAAACGGCGTCACAACCCAGAAGACCATAGGCACCAAACACCAAATCACTTACCATAAATCAGAATTCAGCACAATTTAACCCAAATTAAGGGACTACTGAATAACTACTGGCAACAAATAACCCTCCATGCAGAACGCCATATTTACGATTAATACTATCAAACTAAACTTCTAGTATCACTTTACATAAGCGCACAAACATCAGAACAAACAGTCCCACAAAAAAGTCAAAATATTAAAATAGTCAGCCCTTTAGTAAAAATAAAGTGTTATAACAGATAATAATGTCCAAAGTAATTCCTTGTTAAATTTAGAATGTTCACTCCACTTAAAAGAAATAACATTCAGATTTTGGAAAAAGCAATGTGGATTTCTCAAAGCAAATCCCGGAACATTTTTCACTCTTGTAAAACATGAGTTTGTTAATTGAGATGCCGAGGTGAAATAAAAGTGATAACAAACCCCCCACACCACAAAAACTTTGAATCGCAAATGTAGTCTGCATACATAAAGGTGTCAGGGTCTTGGGACATTATGACCTATACCACAAGCATTTTCCAATCTTATAGGGAATATTATGTCATTCAGTAAGAGACATAGAAGAACATGCAATTTCCTTGAAGAATTGTGTTATTACTTGGTAAAAGCAAGTCAGTCCACTTGTTTTCATTATACCGTATTTAAATAATATAAATAAATTTAATATTTACTTATAAATCTTAAACAATTTTTATTCGTGTTTAGAACGTACGAAATCATCGATGTCGGATGAGGAATTACCTTTTAATAATTCTTAGAATGTCCTACGGACTATGTTACTTACTAGGTGCGATCGGAAAGTTTCCAGACTGTGTCAATAGAGGGCGAACCGGATGTAGTGCGGCCTACATTCATAGTGAATCAGTGTGCCAACCGGTATAATCGAATTAGCATTTGTTTCTTAGTTACGGGCGTTTTGGTAGTGCATTACACCGACCCTCCTGCGATTTCGGAATGGCGTGTGCATCAAATTTTGCCAAAGACTCGCCAAAACGGCTACGGAAACCTATGAAATGCTAAAGCAAGCATTTGGGGAGTCCGCAATGGGTAGTTCACAAACTTTTATGTGGCATTCATGTTTTAAAAATGGCCGAACCTCTGTCCATGATGACGAGCGTTCTGGACGACCATCTTCGAGCACAACGCCCGAAAATGTTACGAAGATTCGGCAGGCCATTCACGAAGATCGACGTCGTACCATCAACGACTTGTGCGACATTGCTGGGATAGGCTATGGGACCTGTCAGCTAATTCTAAAGGAAGAACTCCACATGCGACGCATCCTGTCAGAGGACCAGAAGCAGAATCGACTTCTCGTTTGTCAGGAGCTCAAAGATCTTGCAAGAACCGACCCCAACTTCCTTTCTAAGCTCCGTGTGACTTCTTCCTCTTCCCAAAGATGAAAATTCAGCTAAAGGAAAGGAGATTTGAGGTACTTTGACGGAGATATTGCTGAAATTACTCGATAAATTCAACTACCCTTAAGATTTGACCTTTCGTGTGTTAGAGGTGAAGCTTAAAAGGGATCGTAAGAGAGAATTTACGGAGGAGAAGAAGTTTATGACTTCAGAAAGAAACATTATTTCCTCTGGAATGTTTTTGTTCAAAACTCATTTTTCATGCTATTCATTTTCTGTTTGACGAGTTGTTCAGTAGGCACACTGCGTAATATTTATAAATACATGCCTAAATTTCGTAGATTTACATTTAATAACAAAATATGTTTTAACGGCGGCATGTTGTTGGCCCGACGCCCAATCCAAACACCAGAAGGCCGTTCCTTGCCGCAATGTCCTCTATTTCATACGTTACGTAGAAAGTTAACATGCCTTTATGTGTTGGTTATGAAGAATGATTTGTGCTAATAGACAGAACCATTATGGAGCCAGCAGAATTTATATCTGTGATACAAGAGATTCAGTGTCTTCACGTGCCATGTATCACGCTGCAAATAAGAAGACTAGATATGTGAATATAAATTAAATAATATAGTAAAAATTAGGGCAGGTATTGAAATAAAACCACAAATCCCAAAGCTACTAATCTGGGAGCAAATTAGGATTTCCATGATATGAAGACGGCGAAATACAGCAGTTGCAACACCTGAGACGAAATTCCCATGTCAGCTCTCGGTATCGAAAGAGGAGGGCCTAGTGGCCAAGTCATTGTCCATAAAGAATAAAAATAAACAGTCACGGACACGGATTGCTCTGTGTTGTAACTCTCACTGCTAATTCTGTCTGTTTACTCTTCTCTCCTTATATTTGCTGTCTTGGAACACAGCCTATTTGTTTAACAGAGTACGATTGCGAGGAGAGAGAACTTAATGCCGATGAATGCTAGATTCAAGTATAGACTCAAACGCCTACGCGAGACACAACGAAGCCAATGGTAATACTGAATTCTTGCAGCCGTATGCACTGTTTGAAATCGGTACGACTGTAATTTGAGCAGTTTTCTCTCTCGATGAGCACTTGTCACAGACAAACACTTTCTGCGTTTCGAAATTTTGTTACCAGTCGGTGTAATGTTTCCTTATTCGAAATTTCCTTGTCAGGATATTAAGTGATAAATGTTTCTTCACGATAAGTGGTAATAACGATTTCAATGTGAAGTTCATGTTCGAGAATAAACGCGCACAATTTCTGCGCAACTGGCGCGAGCAGCGTCCTAGTACACGCAACTCTCGGTTTACGAACATTCGCTATAACGAACGTCACAATTCATTCAAAATTTCTTAAAGTCGCCAATAGATAGAGTTCCTTATAAAACGAGGTGTCAAACGTATAGTGAACATAATTGTAAGATTTAAATAAATAAACTTTTAAAAAATGTATTTATTACAATAACTATCAGAAAATTATTATATTATAATTGTACTGAACTGTTCTTGGTTAATAAAACTAATCTAGCCAGTAAAAAAGTATTTTACGTTACGTATCATATACGATAAACCATAACGCAAACATACATTATAATAAATCGTATTGAATAGACCATTCGATGTTTAATACGTTGTTTTAATGCTTTAAAATAGCTGCTAACGTACACGACACGTATCGCAAAAGCTCAGGAATGCAAGACACACATAACGAACAAAAACGTATAACGAACAACGTCTTGGAACGGAACTCGTTCGTAAACCGAGAGTTGCCTGTAACCAGGGTGACCTCGACTCGAGTGCCATGGTGGAAGATTGGGAGGGTCAATTACACGGGGGCGGAGCTGTTTATAATTTAATTTGCGTACTGTAGTAGGCACACTGATTGTTGTTCTGTTACAACTTAAATGGCACACCCTGTATAGTGTCACGGGAGATATTTGCACGGGGATGGACCTGCTATTTTTTTAATTTTTGACCTAAAGTACGTTATTATTGGGTTCCGTTTTAAGTCTTAAGCTCTATGTATCTTCAAGAAAAATATAGAGTAAACAAACCAACAAATATTAACACTATGATGGACACTATTGCCATACGCGTTTCGACCTCAAGAGGTCATCATCAGTGGCATCAGGTAAATTAACACATTTAGTCAAATGGTTCAAACTGGATTAAGAATTAAAAATGAAAAGGTATATGACAAAGTTTTAAGATTCATAGAAAAATGGTTACGTAGCGAGAAACGGAATTTTCATTTATTCCTATTCGCCTTATAAGGCAGCAACTTCAGCGTCCGTATCGGCTAAATGAACACTAACCTTTGTCGGTACATAAACCTCACCCCTCCTCAAATTCAAAGCTGGCACGTAACATTTAATCATGAACCTTCGTAATTTCTGATGTACTGATTCCACCTACGCGGCCAGTAAACTGAATTTGGATTTCTTACTCCGTAAGTGACCGAATTTGTGTATATAAGATCACATTTATAATAATGATAAAATATGTTGTTAAATTATTAATGCAGCCATAACATTGAACGGAATATTAAGTGTTGAATACGACGTTATTTTGATGAATTTCCTAAACAATACTATTTACAATAAAGTGTACACTGTAACTCCAATGTTTGTTTATACCATCCCGAATAAAAGTGTTATTCTGGTATTGTATATCTGAACATTCATAATCGCTGACTTCACCTAAATTGTACTGTTGTATATCTGTGTATCCCGTATAATTTCGCACGTGGCTGTTGGTAAAAACAAATTTGTATTCTTTGTATCAAAATCACTTTTATCAAATTTCTGGCACAACTTACAACATGCATGTAACAGATGTAAGTAGACCACAGTGTCCATCTCGTTAAATTTACTTATTTATTTACGTATATTATTCTTCCCTCCCATATTCCCATTCGGTGAATATCTAACTAAACAAACAGAAGATTAGATTAAGTAAGTTATTAATTCAACACGTGTCGTTCATTTTTTGACAAGCCTACAACTACTTAAGTAATCTAAATAGTCTTTTTTTATAAACTTCTATCCTGATAAATATTAAAAATATCATCGTTATTCTGGGTGGACTGCTGGTCGTATGTCTAAGCATAGTTACCATTTAAGATTACGTAAAACAAGCCTTTAATGAACCTCTCAAATATTATAAATGTTATGAATCAAGTTTCCATATCATTATTAACACGTCGTCCTTAAATAACCAATAAACCAGTCAAGGCGGATTCAGTTGCTAACTTACACCCATAAAAGAACTTGATCAAAATACAATTTCATTGTGATAGAACAGCCTATTATGAAATAACACCGCGGAAATTAATTAGAATCGTACACGTTAGTGAGCGTTTAACACATAATCCAGAATCTCATATTCTTGGCAGTATTCCAATTAGAAACTTCTTAAGTCTTGAGCATTACGAATTAAACGGTCACGTCTGCAAAGACGTGCATTATCGTACCTCAGTTCGCGTTAATATACGTGCACACTGAACCACCCTGTAGAGCAACATTAGCACGATATTAGTATATATGTGACAAGAAACAAAAGTATTTTCGCTCGAATGAAATTAATTGCCAGGAACCATCACTTCCTCAGATCGCGAGAGGATATCCATCGCATACGAAAGCTCGTCATATTTCATCGTTAACAACGGAATAATCTTACATTATTTACCAAATCGGTTAGAAATATTTAATACAAATGCTGGAACAATATGGTAAACTCTTCTTTCATCACACAGGATCTATAAAAATATAAACCTAGTGAAATCTTTCAGAAACTCGGTGTCAGGCTGCTATGGGTCCCTCTAATCCTCTGAAAAGACAGAGACACTGCTTTTTGACGTAAATACGTCTATGAGGAAGGGTCATTCGGCAAAAAAGTTTAACGAAAAAGTGTAAGATGGTTACCTAGGAAACATTACTTCACATTGTATTACATTACTTTCGTTATTGCGGCAAGAGCTGAGCTGTGATTCGCTTGTACAAGAAGTGCGTCGTGGAGTAGATAATTTTGTGCTGGTAATGTAAAGTAATGTACATTACATTACATTAAATTACCTTACCTTACCTTACATTACATTACCTTACCTTACATTACATTACTTTACATTACATTCAGCTACCACAGAGCCATCTTAAGCGTAACTAATTCAAGTTAAGCAATCAAGCATTTTTGTTACCTACGAAACATTACATTATCTTACCTTACATTACATTACCTTACCTTACCTTACCTTATCTTACCTTACATTACATTACTTTACATTACATTCAGCTACCACAGAGCCATCTTAAGCGTAACTAATTCAAGTTAAGCAATCAAGCATTTTTGTTACCTACGAAACATTACATTATCTTACCTTACATTACATTACCTTACCTTACCTTACCTTATCTTACCTTACATTACATTACTTTACATTACATTCAGCTACCACAGAGCCATCTTAAGCGTAACTAATTCAAGTTAAGCAATCAAGCATTTTTGTTACCTAGGAAACATTACATTATCTTACCTTACATTACATTACCTTACCTTA